CACATTCAGAACTACTATTACTGCTTTGTATACAGCTGTGTGTGCTACTACCACGACCACCACAACTATTACTGCTAGTTCTCTTAATAATGCAGCTGCAAAAGATAGAGAGGGTGCAAGTGACATCTCAAAGAATAGAGGATGTAGATGGTGAAGTCTCTCTGCTGCTTTTCTACTAATGCAATCCAGCATGTATTACATTTCAGAATAGGAGAAAGTCGCTCGATGGAAAAGACAAGTTATACAAAATTATGTAAACAAACTAAATGTGTCTTTAAAAAGTGTTATATACTATTTAGGGCTGCTCAATTAATCGTATTTTAATCGCAATTACGATTTTGGCTTGCAACGATTATGAAAACAACATAATCGAAAAAAACGATTATTATTTGTATTTGTATTTATTTTTTATTTTATTTTTATTGGTTTTTCAGTTGAATTATACTTAAAGTTCAGGGTAATCATCAACTGTTTTTTCAATAAATGGATGTTTTCAAAGTATATGGATAATCGTTTTTAATAATCGTGATACCAATTATTGACCCAAATAATCGAGATTATGATTTTTGCCATAATCGAGCAGCCCTTGTACTATTCAGTCTCAGCATTAATATAACGCAGCAGGAAAACCCAAGGGGAAGCAGATGGTAAAGGTAGAAGAAGGCCAACGTTGGAGGAAGGCAACAGGTGTGATCAACACTCTGTCAGTTGATTGGCACTAGCAGCTGAGGAGGAGACAAACAGGAAGGAGGAGAAGAGAGGAGGTGTTGACGTTAGGGGGGGGGGGGGCATAAGGAAGGAAGCCCTACCTGAACAGATGGATCAATAGCAGGGAACAATCAAGGTCAAATAAGATATTTTAAAAGAGTGATGAAACCCAGATTTGAAACAACACAAGTGCATCTGTGGAATGCCTTTTTCTACATATGTCTTTTATTGCTCAACCTCTTAGGTAACTTACAATTCAGTGTTAGCATAAGCAGCTGTGTCTGATTTTACATATGAGAACACTTTGTTTGAGTTTATCTTGTATATGGAGATGTTGACATATCGTTCCCAACAATTACCTTTTCTGAAGGGTCACACGAAAACATGCATTTATTAACAGCACGTTGTTTTTAGTTTTAAAAACAACGTTCTGCAGAGAGCTGTATAGACCTCTGCATATCCTCAGCGGTATAGGGGGCTCAGGGTATGGGAGGTCGCTGTAAACTTGGTGGCAAAGAGATGACCTGGTTTCGGGGGGCTTCCTCCTCACCACAGGGGGTCCCTACTGAGAGGGGGCCTAATCCAGCTAATCCTTTCTCTACACACACACACACACACACACACACACATACACATACACATACACATACAGTACGGTACATATCCCACAAAGATAAAAGAGACATTTAGCATCTTTTTGGTCAGATATTTTATCAGACCTTTGTTAGTTGTAGTGAAAGTCACAGTCGATCAAACAGATTCTGGATCTACTGATTACCTGATTCTGTTATTGGAAAGGGAAATGTTTGTACGTAGTGTATGAGCAGCACAGCGTGAGAGTGTATTTTCATACCAGCATCATAGAGTTGTAGGAGTTGTTTGCCCTTGTTGTGTGTTTTCCCTTAAAGTGAGGGATGTTTCCGTTGTCAGGAGTAGGAGATGTGCAGGGGGTGGGTCTATGCTGTTGTGTGTTGCATGGAAAAGAGAGAAAGTTGGCAAGGGGAAAAGGGGGTGGGCTGGCTTTGACAGAGGGGCCGGGCTGATTGCCATCATGATCTGGCCAATCACAGAGTAGTTGTGAATAGAGCAAAGGGAGAGAAAATGAGAGTATAAAGATGAGGGGGAGTTCAGGACTGAAAGGAGGAAGGGGGGTGATGTCAGTTCCTTAGAAACCTACTTTCTCTCCCTTCGTCCCTACCGCCCCCCGTTCCCCTACTTTGATAATGGGGGGGCCAAGGGTTAATGTTATGCAACACACTGAATACCCGCACTGAGCGCTCCAATACAGTGACACACATGGGCCTGCTTCTTCTTCTGTTCTCTTCTCACTTTGATTCTGTGGAGGTATATTTTTTTGTAACGGCTTAGTTTAGTGTTTTTGAACATTCACTAGACATCATGCATCTGCAGATATAACTCGCATACAGCTGGAAATTAAACATTTGAACAGGTCGGTAAATTAAGAGATGGCTTGTGATGACATGAGGAGTCAAAAATCATAAGTTTAGGGCATATGAATAACAACAGTTTTTAACTTTGGATTTTTGAGATGATATAATTAAATTGCTTTTTGTCTAAATCTTGGACACTTATTAAATGATCACAGAAGACCAAGACAACCATCAACTGAAAAACTGGGACCAGTAAAGATTTTAAATGTATGGTTAAAGAGTGACTTGCAGAGTCACTCTTAGTAACAGTTATTTTATATGGTGGCTGATTGCTTTTCTGTTCAACCACTTAAGAGACTTGCCATTCCAGCAGCTGTTAATTGATTTGCCAATCGTTGTAAAATAATGGATAAACGGCAAAGTGAGTGATGCAGAAGGGAAAGAACAAGCAATAGAAAGAAGTGAGTGAGACATGAACTTAGCATGGGATGCATTTGAAAGTCGGTGACACTTTGTTTTAGGTCACAGCCGCTGAGCCTGGAGCGGGACACCTTCAAGATATCAACACATGCCGAGGTCAACCAGTTTTCTTAGGAGAAGGAATATGGGAATATGTGTCATTGAAGAAACACAGCTGTGTGTGTGTACACACACACACACACACGCTTGCCAGTATGTCAGTGCACACTCGCACACTCACACATTTTCTTGGTCCAGCTGGGGTGTTAATTTCACCCCGAGGCTGTGTGAGTGTTGACCCCAAAACGCTGTAACCTCGTGAAGTGTGGAATTCTCTAAGCCAGAGGCCGTGATGTGCTGTTTCCTGTAGAGAGAGTACATTCCTTTGACTTGTCCTGTTCCTCGCTGCTTGCTGTAAACTTAAGGTCTTTGGGTGGCAGTCCACAACTTGGAATGTGTTCATAACAAAAAATGAGTACTTTCTAAACTCGTCCCTCCCATCTTTTTTAATCAGAGCTTCCCTTATCTCCTTTCACATATAGAAACTGAGAAAGTAAGCACCTCTTTCATCATACCCGTGTTCCCATGCTTCCCCTTTGGCGGTGCACCTTAACCAAGCCTCGGGCCAGCTTTTGCATTTGAGCGTTGAGTGTACCAGACAAGTCGACTTGTTAGTGCACTGTCAGTGTGCGTAAGGTCTAAATCAGTTCCATGCGTGCTCTTTTGAAGAGAGGGCTGCTGTAACGTAGCCGTGTAGCTGGCCTAGCAGCAGAAAGCATGTCGCTCTGGTTAGTCTAGGCCTGCTATTAGTGATGAGTATTATAAACATGCTTTCAGACAGGATCAGATGGGAATGCTGTTTGGGTCCAGAAAAAAAGAAATCAAGTGTGTTTTCCTAATGCCCCAAGACATGGCCCCCTCCCTCCCTGTTCCATTGGTCTGACTGGGTGGTCCAGCTCAGCAGAACAGGCATGCTTATGTTCAACTTTAATGCCATTACAATGGGTTGAAAATATTCAATCTATGCGTGCTGTTGCACGAATTGAGCGGAATTGTTAAATTGGATTAAGCCATAATAAAATGTTGCAGAGTTTTCACACAGTCTGCCGTCTCACTAGGCATTTTGAGTGTGTGTATGTGAGCGCAAGTGTTTGTGTGAGAGCAAGTAAAAGAAGATGACTATAAATCACTGAGCCTTCAGTCACTGATGATGGAAGGGCTTAAATCCTCTGCCTGTAAATCAGACATTGAAACACTGAACTGAAGGATGCACACACACAAGTATAAGGCTTCATCAAGTCCCAAACATGCACAAAAACATTTCATTTTAATAAAAAGTTAACTCTTGGCTGAAAAATTGACTTCCCATGCTTACATGACTGCAATTGCCTGCTTACGTTTGTGTGTGTTTGGAAGAGAGACCTTGCTAAATGTGCATTGGCTGTACTGGGGTGGAGCAGGGCAACTAAAGGGCCTGAAAGGCTGCTTTTGTAGCTTGGGCTAGCTTAGAGCTCAGAGCGCACGCACAGGGCTTAGTCCCACCACGATACTGGGAGCTAAGCCTGGAAAAGAGCCCCTCTCTCTCTCTTTCTCTCTCTCTCCATCAAACACATACATACTGTCACACACATATGTAGTCAACATGCTCTGGCTCTACTGACTTGTTTTTAAATTTGAGTAGAAACATTGAGCTGTTTTTGTGAAATGTGGATTTGTTGGAGTGATATTGCTCTTCTGGGTTCAAAGGAATTGGGATGTTTAGCTTTGTAGTGATACAAGCTCACTGTAAGCAAAGTGATTTTGTTTAAGATACAAGTGCGATAAGGTTCAGATGTCTTTGGGTTTGATTTGCACAAGATCTCTTCTGCAGTCACAGATGTTTTAGCACATGATGCTTTTTTGGTGTGTGTGTGTGTGTGTGTGTGTTTGAGAGAGAGTGGTATAGCTGTGTTCAGGATGTCTCACTTACTGTTGTTTACATACATTTTTTATCAAATTATTATTATTGCAAAAACAATTTGATTAGGGCTCATTATTTTCAGTTTGGTAAGAAAAGTATACATTCAAAACAAAGAGTTTTAAGGTTAAAAATTATATTATTTTTTTGTAATGATCTGGATGTAATGATGAAGCCTAGACACTAGACTAGTCATCAAGGTCCACATTGGAAATATGGAAGATAAATTAGTTAACTGCAAACAGTGGTATTCTAAGCTTTAGATGAATGGGGACTTGAGGCCACCATTAAAATCATTTTATATCTCTTTTTACAAGATCTATATATATTTTTTTGGGTAACATTCCATAAATAGCTGTAAATGTTGAGCCTCAAATGTAATAAACAATTGTATTATATTGTATACTAATCAAATACAAACCACCTACAAACCGTGCAAGGGTTTGAATATGCATATGTAAACACATTCACTCTCCTTTTTCCAGTTGGTGGGCGTGTGAACCGGGAACTGACGTACACGCGACAGAATATAGGCGAGGAGGCCATGTTTAACCCTCAGCTGATGATCCAGACGCCGCGGGAGGACGGAGCAAATGTTTTAACGGTGGACGCGCTCCTACAGCACCTGGAGTCAGCTCTCCAAGCCAGCAGAGTTCATGTTTACCTTTATAACAGGTAACTCACTTCTCAATCATGTATACCTGTGTTCCAGCTTTGCCTGATGTCTGTATGTCTTCATCATAAAAGCATCAAATATTCCACTTATGGACAATCGAAATTGACTTTATTAGAACACAAGTATTTCTCAAAGGGCGATTTAATGAAATCAAATGAAGTATTCCCACAACAAATACATGAAGCTTTCAGTTTGTAGTTTCCGGCATTGTTGTATTGCATTGGACTGCTTTCAAATAATCGGACACTTTTCCAGCCCATATTTGTCCTTGTACAGAATATATTGGACATACACAGCATACCTGTACCTGGATTCAGCTGTTTTTTTCAAGCAATTCCTCATAATGATGAAATATGTTTTATTTTTCTTCTTTGCTCAGTCTAGCCTAAGGGGCTGATGATGTTCTTCTGTTTTCCTTTTCAGACAATGGAAATTAGAAAACTTGTGCTACAAATCAGGAGAACTAGTCACAGAAAGTCATTTGGACCAGGTAAGGTTTAAATTATTCACTTAGTATTACTGTCTGCAATATATTGAAACATGACCATCTTTTGGTCTTTCCTGTATACACTTCCTGTTGTTAATGTGTGTGAAACCTGCTGTGTGTGGGCCATGTGTGTGTCCAATTAGATCATAGAAAAGCTACACCCCTGCCTCATCATCACCCCTTTGGACTGTTTCTGGGAGGGAGCCAAGCTCCAGTCTGGAATGGTCTATCTACCGTAAGTACCAACATGTCCTTTTTACCAAACAAAATCTGTATTTTATGATGTGTCGGCACAATCAAAACAGACTGACTTCTTTCAAGGTCAAATTTCTGTTAATATGGCCAAATAATCAATTCTAAGAATCCTAATTTGGCACACATAAGCTCTTGTTACTGTAAGGCAAACTGATTTAAATGATGTCTGGGGACAACAAGACTTTGACCGCTGATGTCATGAGTGATGGATATGGAATTATTGTATAAGGTTATATTATACAGACATGTTCAGAAAAAGAGGAGATCTGGATCTCTAGATCTTGTTTTTACCCCTTTAGTAGAAGCTGCCCAAACAGGATCAATCCATCCACCAAAGAGGACCAAGAGTGTGTGTGCATGTGTGTTGTGTGTGTGTGTGTGTCGTCCCCTCTGAAGGCTCTATTGTAGTGTTGGCTGGCATGCGTATCGCTGGCGGTAGTTTCTCTCCAGCCCTGGGCCTCACACCATTGTCTGCCCCTTCTGTTGCTAATGGCCTGCTGCTACAGTAATACTCAGCAGAGCCTTACCTCTGTCTGTGTGTGTGTGCATGCACTTATTGTGTGTGCCATTTCCACCAGTGCATACATGTGTGTAGTGGACATGTGAAAGTATATCTGTGTGTGTGTGTGTGTGTGTGTGTGTGTGTGTGTGTGTGTGTGTGTGTGTGTGTGTGTGTGTGTGTGTGTGTGTGTGTGTGTGTGTGTGTGTGTGTGTGTGTGTGTGTGTGTGTGTGTGTGTGTGTGTGTGTGTGTGTGTGTGTGTGTGTGTGTGTGTGTGTGTGTGTGTGTGTGTGTGTGTGTGTGTGTGTGTGTGTGTGTGTGTGTGTGTGTGTGTGTGTGTGTGTGTGTGTGTGTGTGTGTGTGTGTGTGTGTGTGTGTGTGTGTGTGTGTGTGTGTGTGTGTGTGTGTGTGTGTGTGTGTGTGTGTGTGTGTGTGTGTGTGTGTGTGTGTGTGTGTGTGTGTGTGTGTGTGTGTGTCAGTCAAATGGTAAATAAGGTTTTTACTATGTTCTGGTTGGGAGGCTGGGAATAATAACCCATGCCTGGTTAAGCACGTACAATGTGGTCTGAATGACACACAGAGAGAGATTCAGAGATTGGAATGTGCTTAGAGAGACAAGGACTGGTTTGGAGCAGGAATTCAGTACTGTGCCATTGCATCATGGGAATTTGTCTCTTATATTGTTTTCTGTCACCTAGCAAGAAAGATATTACTTTATTTTTTGTCTGAGGTAAATCTAGAGGCGATAACACCTGACAAATACATTCCAGCCTCTAACACTGATGTCCTAAAATACACATCCAACACATGATAGCAACAAAACAAGAACGAATATTTTTTCGGATCTAATTGGCCAAGGAAGTTGCCTTTTTTTCACAGAAAGATGTAACTATTGTAGATAAACATTAATTTTGTAGATGTATCTAATGTGTTCGCCCTTAAAGGACAATTCCAGCTTAATTTTTACAGTTGTATTAATCGTCTCCAATATGATAATAACTAACTATCTAACTAACAAGAAGTACTAGTGCTCAATAAGGTACAGAAACACAGCATCTTAAAACATGGTTGTAGCTACGATAAAACAGTGTTCTTGTTTACTTTTACCTTTTGCAGAGGTAAAGACCCTCTTCAGTGGACCAACTTTGACCCAAAGGAGTTCCTTGAGGATTTGCGAAAGGCTAATTTCCCAGTGGATGGTTTTGAGGAGATGTTGGAAAAGGCAGATGTTGGACACGGCTACATGGATAGGCCCTGTTTAAACCCTGCTGACCCCGACTGCCCCCTCACTGCGCCCAATAAGAACTCAACCAAGGTAGGCGCACATATTGGATCAAGCTTTAGGTTCTGAACATATGTGTACACATGCAACATATATATCTTTGGTAAAACATAAAGTCTTGGGTTTGAGACAAGCTGCTGACAGGTATTTTTCTCGCCTGTTGCTTTTATTGCACCAGCCATTCGATGTGGCGAGGGCTCTGAGTGGAGGCTGCCATGGTCTATCCAGGAAGTACATGCACTGGCAGGAGGAGCTGATCGTAGGAGGGACCACCAAGAACGGCAGCGGACCCCTGCTCAGGTAACATACCCAAACTTACACATACACACCCTCATAAACACTGCTGTGATCCCTGCAGGGCTTATTCTGGAAAGAGTGTGTGTTTTTTGTTCTTTTATGCTCTCGGAAACGGCACATGCATGCATGCGTGTGCACGTTGTGCTGTAAATCTTGCAGTCATTAGCAGATTCCAGTGAAATCTTAGAGCTCCAGCTGTTCCTGCTAAGCTCTGCGCTCTGCTTGGACTCTATCCTCTCATATAGACTCATGTACACACTCATGTACACACATACACACACACAAACACCTACTCACACACACACTCACATTCACAGTGTGATCTATTGCCTGGCAAGTTTGTCCAAATATACAGCGATTTTGGGTACATGTACTTCTCTCTAGCACCAGCTCCAGGAATACGTTTAAAGATACTTAATGTACACATTTGTATGTGTGCAATACGCTGTATGCCCTTCATAACAAAACACATAACATTGAGTCAATGCCACAAACACAGGAATAAAAAGCATGCACATTTTATCAATCATAAGAAGCTTTAAGGAGAGATTTACAACTATCCAACATTTTACTAATGAGCCACTTAATAATATGAAATTGCAAAGTTTGCACATGCATTTACACACAAAGGCAAACCCCCACACACATTTACACGCATACTGGTCCCAGAGTACAGTGGGGTGCGTTGTTTGTTTGGTGGTTGTGTTTTTTCCTGGCAAGATTGGGTCATTAGTGTGTGTGTGTGTGTGTGTGTGTGTGTGTGTGTGTGTGTGTGTGTGTGTGTGTGTGTGTGTGGGTGTGTGTGTGTGTGTGTGTGTGTGTGTGTGTGTGTGTGTGTGTGTGTGTGGTGTGTGTGTGTGTGTGGTGTGTGTGTGTGTGTGTGTGTGTGTGTGTGTGTGTGTGTGGTGTGGTGTGTGTGTGGTGTGTGTGTGTGTGTGTGTGTGTGTGGTGTGTGTGTGTGTGTGGGTGTGTGGTGTGTTGGTGTGGTGTGTGTGGGTGTGTTGTGTGTGGGTGTGTGTGTGTGTGTGTGTGTGTGTGTCGTGTGCTGGTGTGTGTGTGTGTGTGTGGGTGATGTGTTGTGTGTGTGTGTGTGTGTGTGTGTGTGTGTGTGTGTGTGTGTGTGTGTGTGTGTGTGTGTGTCCTGGCTCATTTGGCTTCTAACATTTGACAATTTGAAATCATCTTCTGTTTTTTCAGTGTTTTCAAATGTTTCTTTAAATTACTTATACATCTTGTATAGTACTGTCCTAATGTATGGTTAGTGCATCCCTCATTACACTGGATACCTTTGCCATCTACAAATTAGTTTGAACAAGAATCTTGTAGAGGACCCTAACCCATTGTTTGCTGTTTTTCATGCTGAATGACTTCATTCTAAGAATTTTAAGAACACATCTCTAGTAAACAAATGTTTAAAGTGGTACTTTTGCCTTATTCTCTGTGAAGAGACTCAGTTTTAAACATCAATTGATAGGTTAGTACAAACATTTTTTTTTCCCGGTTTGGATAGTTATTAGATATAACTAATAATTCTAATTTAAATTATTTAACGGACTATCAGCAGTTGAGTGAGGGGTGGAAATTAATCAGCATTTGCTTCCTCCTGCTCCCTTTTGGACACTATTATTATTTTTATTATTTTGTTAAATTTATTTTTGTTAAATATATAAATATTGTTGAATATATAAAAATATTTTTGACAATTTGCATTAAAAAACTAATTGAAATAAAAAAAACTGTATTCTACCAATACGGTATTCTGTTTAACATTCTTTTTTTTAATATGTTTTTGTTTCAAAATCTGTCCGAAATAAAGATGGAAATGAAATGAACAGTGGTTTTGTGGCGGTTCTGTTCTGAGGATAGTGATTGTTATTAAAAAGTATTGTTTTATCAGATGAATAAAGATGGAAACGCAAGCCCAAGAGACTAGGTGCATTATATAATGCCAAGTGGTTTATTTTTTATTGTATAAATGGATAAGTGGTTGTTTAAAGCAAACATTAAAATATGTTTCTTTGCGCTCTGGAAAATTGTTATGTGAAAAGCACAATCCATAAGCCAGCTGATCACCTTCTGATCTTCCCTTGTAAACATTATGTTGTCAGTCAAAGCTTGCACCTCATTAACCTCCGTACTTTTGACCTTCCTTTGTTATCCCTTCCATCTTTTTCCTCCCTCTCCCTCTGTCACCCTCCCTCCTTCCCTCCTTTCCAGTGCCCAAGCCCTACAGACCATGTTCCAGCTGATGACTCCCAAGCAGATGTTTGAGCACTTTCGTGGCTATGAGGAGGTTTCCCACATCAACTGGAATGAAGAAAAGGCTGCAGCTATACTGGAAGCCTGGCAGAGGAAATACTCTGAGGTAAGGGACCAAAGCACTCAGCAACTAGAGAGAGACACATCCATAAAAGGGAAAATAAATCTACCCTAAATCCTCTACAACCGCATTGTAAATCTGAGACCGGATACAGGTGAACATGGAAAGGCCCCATCCAAAGCCAGGGCCCCTGATAGATACTAGAATCACTGTTGGTGTGTGGTATAGGCCTATAGCTTCCCTCTCACTGCTCAGTAGAGAGGAGCAATAGAGCAGGGTGAGCATGTCTGGAATACATTAAGGGAGGGCTGGATATCTCTCTCTCTCTCTCTCTCTCTCTCTCTCTCCTTCTCTCCCGCGCTCTTGCTCTCCAACTCTTTAACTCATGTACAAACACACATGCAAACACGCTCAAAAGTGCACACACAATCTCTTTCCCAGCTGTGGCCCCATTGGTGGCTCATGTGTGACATCATCTGGTCTTTGTTTTGGGGGCCCCAACCTCTGTTCGACATCGTGTGACCTTGTGTGTGTGTATCTGTGTGTGTGCGCCATTTATCTTGGGGCCCAGAGACCACTGATGGATAGTAGAGAGGTGTGATTGTTTATCAGAACTCAGTGTTTTTTATAGCAGTCATCGAAGAAATAAAAGATGCCAAATAGTCTTACTATGTCTATGAGTTTGTGTTAATGTGTTTGCACTGTGTTTTACTCTATGGTTAGGCGTGTCTATTAGGATAGTAAGCATGCATGTCAGTATGTGCCTTACACATGTGCAAATGCACACGTGGGTGCAAAAGTGTGTGTGATCTAGTGCGTGTTTCCTAATGTGTGTCAGCCAGCATAGCTCCCCACTGAGCAGTAACTGCAGTTCAGTGTTGAAGCCATCTATCTGCCCTGAGATAATGAGCGGGAGAGGATGGGTCATGGTACTGTCTGCAGATTCTTCCAAATGCTTCCTACAACAGAGGCAGAGCTTGATATTTAGGGCTGCTGTGTGGTTTTCAGTGATATTTACTGTGCAGGTATTATTATAATTGTTTGTCTATACACAGCTCTATTTCTGCTATTGCGAAATACTGCGAATTGCTTCCAATGCGTTTTCAAGTTTTGCAAAGTTTTGATCCGTTCCTATTTGTGTCTGGGTTTGGTAGTGTGTTTAGTTGTACTTTTTTTAATCTCATATCTTACCTTTTCAATTTATTTAGTTGTATTTATTGTTGCTGGTTTTGGTTTAATTGTATGAAAAGTGCTAAGGTGTTTTTTCTTCTCTAAATTAGGCAGCTATATCCATTTAGGTTGTATTAAGAAGGGCCATGTCAGAAAGAGAGAAATTAAACTTGGTTCTGCAGAGACCGGCACTGATTTTTTTAATTTAAAAAACTAGAAAGAGAAAAAGTAAAAGGTGAACACAATATTTGCCCATCTAAGAACTTTGGCTGATTATCTTTTAACCTGACTGTGAGCATTTGTAGAGCTGCCGCTGCACTAAGCGTAAATCAACCTCCAGTTTGTTGTTTCATGTTATACCAAATGTCTAATATTGCCTTGGAAGTTTGTTTAATTATTGCTGATATCTCCATCAATGCATGACTATTTATTTTAAACCTTCTCTTCAGTAATTGTTCTATCTCTATCTCTGTTTTCCTCTCTCTTTGTAGGCGGTGCTGCAGAGTGTTGCAGCAAATTCGTCTCAGAAGGTCTTGTCTTTCACCTCCACCACTCTGGAAGATATTCTCAAGTCTTTCTCGGACATCAGCGTCATCCGTGTGGCCAGTGGATATCTGCTTATGGTGAGAGCAGAGCCAGAGAAAAGACATAATACATTTTCAAATACACTAACTTCTATTTGGATAATGGATTTTGTAAAAAGCTTTGAGCAGCTAATGTGTAGGCTTAGATTGAGGAAGACACAAGTTAAAAAAGAAGGGTAGATGTTTGATGATTAACCTAACCTTGTAATAAGTTGACTTAATCTTTGATTTCTTGTTTGGTGTATGTCCCAGCTGGCCTATGCGTGCCTTACCATGCTACGGTGGGACTGTGCCAAGTCTCAGGGAGCTGTTGGGCTGGCGGGGGTCTTGCTGGTGACACTGTCAGTGGCAGCTGGCCTGGGCCTCTGCTCTCTCCTGGGCATTTCCTTCAATGCTGCCACCACACAGGTAACTCACACACATACCACTGGCACGTGCCGATGTTTTTTGTCATGATTAACACAATGAGATCAAATGTTTATCGGTGTCATTTGACATCCCGTGATTATATAAATCATAAAAAAATGCTGCTTTGCACTATGTTACTATCCACAAAAAAACGTAACATTAGTAGGGTAATACTTACAACATGTAACAGTTTGTTGACTAGAAACTAAAAACATTCAACACTGGATGTAGTCCTTTATTCGGCTTTTGGAGCTCATGAATTGTGTGTGTGTGCTACAGGTGCTACCCTTCCTGGCTCTCGGTGTTGGAGTGGACGATGTTTTCCTCCTCGCTCATGCCTTCAGTGAGACCGGACAGAACAAGAGGATCCCATTCGAGGTGAGGCGAACATCCAAACTGTTCTTACCCCCTCTGCTGTCTTATCTCCAAAATAGAAGAATGTGTGAAAGCGTGTCTGTGCCTGTGATGTAAGATCAAACAACCTGTGCCACACACTCAGTCCGCTTATCTAAGAAATGCTCAATATTAAATATTTCCCTTTTTGATTAATGAAAAGCGACTAAAGAAGGCTAAATGAAATCATAAATCAAAAGTGTTTCTCACAAGTAGATCAAGGCATATACAGTTAAACACTGGCAGAAACCTGCTTTTTCAAAAGGGTAAATAGAGTAGGTATCTGCAACCTCATCTGGCTATGTGCCCGTGTGTGTTTTTTTTTTTTTTGTGGAACAGAATAACTTTATCTCCAGAGAGGGGAAAACACAGGCAAGTATTTGCTTGTTTTTGTTTTCCCCTCTTACTCTCCCCTTCTAGCCCTTGTCACTACGCCTCCTTCATCCCTCAACTTCCTTTGTGTGGTTAAGATAAAAAACTAAACAGAGCTGAACCTGATCTGTCCTGTCTAACACACACACACACACACACACACACACACACACACACACATACACACACATACACACACACACACACACACACCTGCAAGCACTCCCTGTGTGGTCGTCGTGCACGTCCTTAAGTCTTAACACTGATGCTGCCAAACCTTAAAGGGGTGTGCATGCTTATCACTAAATATAAATAAAAAAAGCAAAGAGTAAAGTCAATCATCAGTCATGATTACAATGATAATGTATTTATTTCCTTAAGTCTTCAAACAGAAGTAGACGTGCCCAGGTGGATTATTTAAGAGCACTTAAAGGGCTTAAAGAAACACTGCAATCACTGTCAGTCATATCGGTGTTATGATCATTGAAAGTAATCTCAAGTATTACACGTTTGCCTTTGGCTATCATGGCCTTTCCTTTCATCTCTCTCTCTCTCTCCTATCTGTCAGGATCGTACAGGGGAGTGTCTGAAGAGGACAGGGGCCAGCGTGGCTCTCACCTCCATCAGCAACGTCACCGCTTTCTTCATGGCAGCACTCATCCCCATCCCAGCGCTCAGAGCCTTCTCTCTACAGGTATATACGGTATTTCGTGTGTGTTTTTGTGTGTGTGTTTGAGAGTTAAGTCGTGGGGGGGGCCCCTCTCTCACTAACATTGTTGTTCCAGTCCTCATTGGCTCCAGATTTCTCCAGACAGTTGTTTTATTGATTTCTTTCATCAAACTGAAAGGCTGTGTATTTATGTGTGTTTGAGGCATAGTGTGTGTTTTGATAAATCCATCCAGCCCTCTCCCTCTCCCTCTTTGAGGCTGTTTAGTGGTGGGCCCGGTGTCTGTCCAGATTGTGGCTGGGGTCCAGTGAATACCACTGCATGTTTGTGTATGTACTTGCATATCCTCACGCACGTGTGAGGGGGGTGAGTTGTAGTATCTGTGTGGGAGGTTTGGTGTGTGTGTGTGTGTGTGTGTGTGTGTGTGTGTGTGTGTGTGTGTGTGTGTGTGTGTGTGTGTGTGTGTGTGTGTGTGTGTGTGTGTGTGTGTGTGTGTGTGTGTGTGTGTGTGTGTGTGTGTGTGTGTGTGTGTGTGTGTGTGTGTGTGTGTGTGTGTGTGTGTGTGTGTGTGTGTGTGTGTGTGTGTGTGTGTGTGTGTGTGTGTGTGTGTGTGTGTGTGTGTGTGTGTGGTGTGTGTGTGTGTGTGTGTGTGTGTGTGTGTGTGTGTGTGTGTGTGTGTGTGTGTGTGTGTGTGTAGAGGGGAGCTTAGACTTTTCTAACATCTGTCAGTCATTATAGACGTCACCAGAACAGTAAAAACAGGGACAGAAAGAGATGTCTGACAAAATGCCTCCAATAATCACCAAATGAATACAAACACTCACTCAATCACAGAGATACATATTGTAAAGAGAACACAATAACAGTAAAAAAACATTTGAAGATGCCTATATTAAGGCTGAGTCTTTCCAGCTGCATGAGAACTAGACGGAAAATATATGATAGATTTTAAAAACAGAATATAAACAAATAAGGTTGCCGAAACGGGTTTGACAGAAATATCAGCTTGGTGATAGATTCAATGTTAGACTTATAATATTGGGCCATTGCCCAATATATAAATGAATTATTTGTTATCCAATTTAAGAACATTTCTGATTATACTAATTTGTTTCAGTCCAATTCCATCCATCCATCTTCTCCCGCTTATCCGTGGTCGGGTCGCGGAGGTAGCAGTTCCAGCAGAGAGCCCCAAACTTTCTTTTCTTTTCCCTGGCCACAGTCCAATTCGTTTGAAAAAAAAATATTTTGTGTTTTATTTCAGATTAAAACAAATGTCTGCCTCCCTTCTTGGCCTTCGCACAGTATGTGGTGTAAGGCAGTCTAATCATTTGTTGCTGCAACCTAAGTAAAGTAAAGATAAAGTGGGTGTTAAGTAGGTTCAATTTATTGGGGGTAGTGGTGGACTATAGAAAGGTTTTTAGGCTAAATATTTACATATAATTAGTTAATTGTGTAGTTGTAATTACCTTACAGGGTAAACATTAAAAGCTTGCAAAAATATTTTGTCAACTACCAGAAGTGGAAAATCAATCTTTATAAAAGATATTGGTCAAACAAACACTCACAAAGAACTAATTCAAAAGATGATTCAAAATGTTTTGAGAAGTGTTAATATGAAAGGTATTATTGGTTTCATATATAAGCCTTTATTTTCAGTGTACATTCATACCCCTGACTTCCCACGTTGACATACATTCACACACACAAGCCAACATACCCATGCTCACACAGTGTGAGGCAAGATGTCCCCACAGTGAGTACAATATTAGCATGTGTGGATGGATGGCTTTAGTACAGCGAGTCGGTCAAACATGATCCATTTACCCCATGGCTCTAATCCATGCAGCCTCGTTATGCACTCAAATACACACACTTGGAAACAGGCACACATACATACATAACACACACACACATGCACATAGTATGCATACTTTACACTTGTGGTTTTGTGACTGGTTGAGAGCTTGCAGTGATGCAGACATTTATGCTGATATGTATCTTTATTATGGAACACGCACACACACACACACACCCGTAATCAGTACTACTCATCTCTCAGCCTTGATAAAATGTGTGTTAGTATGTGCATGTGTCTCTTTATCAGTATTAAGCACTTCCTGCGATCGACTCCTCCATAGATGAATGTCTTGCTCTTTCGTCTGTTATTTTTGGAATTTGCTTACTTTCATCAGTATGAACAAAAACACATGATCTTTATCCAGATAACACTAAAATACACATTCATGCACCGAGGACAGATGTTAAATAAATCTCCCCATTCTGGGTCGTGTGTGTGTGTGTGTGTGTGTGTGTGTGTGTGTGTGTGTGTGTGTGTGTGTGTGTGTGTGTGTGTGTGTGTGTGTGTGTGTGTGTGTGTGTGTGTGTGTGTGTGTGTGTGTGTGTGTGTGTGTGTGTGTGTGTGTGTGTGGTGTGTGTGTGTGTGTGTGTGTGTGTGTGTGTGTGTGTGTGTGTGTGTGTGTGTGTGTGTGTGTGTGTGTGTGTGTGTGTGTGTGTGTGTGTGTGTGTGTGTGTGTGTGTGTGTGTGTGTGTGTGTGTCAGAGTTCCCGTTAGAATATTTTTTTGCCGGTCAACATGTCCGTTAAAGTTGAAATCTTCCGGACAAAATGAGAAAAGTGCCGGTCAAAGGTCTTCTTTGTTATTTATTGAGCTTTAAAACAAATTGATATGATTAAATATTAAACAAACTAATTATAGTAGATTAACTACATTATTAAAAAATGTACAGTAATTTACAAAAACGCGGGAATAATAAACGGAGCGCTCTCTCCTTCTCCTGACAGCCCGTCAGTATCATGCAACTCGCGGACCCAGTAATGTAGTAGTGACCCGACAGTAAAACTAAACATATCTATAACTAGTTTAGGTAGTTTGAGAGGTAATTAAAATAGCTACGTGTGATGTTCTAACCTGAAGTGTGTTTTGCTCTGCTCGCCGCTGCAGGGGATCATGCAGAGCTGCGTGTCGACTCGTCAGCAGCAGCCGATCTCTCTCTCCCGTCAGATTAGACTTTACTCGCGTTTGTCCATATCGATCAGATCTAGCTAGTTCTAGCTAATGATATGACTACCTGCTTATTAAAAGACACCTAAACAATAAGCGTCGCTATGCAACCGGGTGAGGCCACAAAGTATAGCGCAGCATTATGCATTTGTTTACATGCCCACCGGAACCCCGAGGCATTACCAACAGATCAACGCACAATCAACCCATACAGGACATCTCTTTCTCCACATTAAGTGTTAGACATTAGAATTGACTATTTTTGTCTGTCACATACTCTTTTGTCTGTCACATAAGTGGCGCAACTGAAGCGGTATTGCGCTAAAGGGAAAATTATTTTGACCGGACATTTTGACCGGAGAGATATAGATTTGCCGGTCTTCAGCATATTTTACCGGTCATAGTCCGGTAATTACCGGCTAACGGGAACTCTGGTGTGTGTGTGTGTGTGTGTGTGTGTTTCTGTTTCTGGACGTTAGTGGTCCAAAGGAGAATTCATTGTTCTACTCTACTTACAGAGGCTTTGTGTCTCGTGTTCTCCTACCTTATTGTTGACTTGAGCTAAGGAATGAGGGAGGGCAGGGATGTGTGTGTCTGGTTGGCGTAAGGTGTGGTTAAAGTAGGAGGCTGCACAGTTTTTTAACATTGCAGTAGATACATGTGTGTATGTGCATTTTTTGGTGTGAGTGTGTTAAGGGTGTGTGTTGTCTGTACAGCCGCAGCGCCTGCTCATCACCTCAGGCCCTGCGGGCCTCTGGCTCCTTGGGTGGTCTGGCTGTGTGTGTGTCTGAGTGTGTGTCTGTGTGTAGTGTTCTGGCAACGACGCAAGATCCAGATTGTACGCTGGGCAGGGCCCCAACCCAGCCCCCATCCTATGCTCCACCTTCAAATACTTAACCACAACACTGCACTGGCTTCTATTACACATATACACACACACACACACACACACACACACACACACACACACACACACACACACACACACACACACAGGAATTGTTTGTATTTAGGCACTCTTTTGCCTTGATTGATATTGTGTTATTTTAAGGCATGTTTAGGCTTCCCACTGTTTGAGTTGGAAGCCTGCACTTGTGCATGAACGGAAATGCAACAGGAATGGAGATTTCAATTAAATTTGACTCGTATATATTCAGCACTTCACACACACAAATGATCATCAACAGTCCATTCCAAATATTGATAAAAGCTACTTTTTCCATAACATGCCTTTGTGTGTTTCCTGCAGGCTGCGGTGGTGGTGGTGTTTAACTTTGCCATGGTGCTGCTCATCTTCCCCGCCATCCTCAGCATGGACCTCTACCGACGAGAAGACAGACGTTTCGACATTTTCTGCTGCTTTTACAGGTGTGTGCGCAAACCTTTTTACACTCATGTCTATGCTCTTCTTTTCATTATTCAACCATAAAAGGTCGACTCTGATCAGACCAAGAATAGCTTTAACACACAGTTATCTCTGAGATATCTTCACATTACTTCTTAAGTTGTCTTGACTGTGTTTTCATCACAGTCTTTTTTTATACTTAACCAGTCTGCCTGCCTGCCAGTCTGAGCATGCTTGTTGGCACGGCGATCATACAGATGTGCACACACACTATTAAATTCCCTTGTTGTGTCTCAGCTCTATATTCTATGCTGTTGGCAGCGAGAGACAAGAGTGGATTCATAATAACATGGGTCTGATCAAGAACATCTAGAATAGCATAACCTTGAAAGTTTGTTTTGTTTTTGAGTGTCCCTCCATGTATTGTCTTTCAAAGCAGTTGATCTGAATGTCTTCTTCCCTGTCTTTATCTCTTCAGTCCCTCTGCCAATCGGGTGATTCAGATCGAGCCTCATGCACACCTGGATGGGGCAGATGAAAGCCACTACAGCCCTCCCCCATCCTATTGTACACCTCCTCCCTCGTATCACACGCCTCCCCCAAACTACAGCAGCCCCCCTCCCTCCTACAGCAGCCATGGCTTTGCCCAGCAGACGCAAATCACCATGCAGTCCACGGTGCAGCTCAGGACAGAGTACGACCCCCGGACCCAGGCCTTCTACACCACGGCTGAGCCAAGTTCGCAAATCTCTGTGCAGCCCATGAACGCAGCTCCAACGAGGAGTAACCCTAACAACGACTATTACAGCAGCAACCCCAGCGGTAGCAGCAGCAGCAGCACCCACGGCAATCTCAACAACAACAACAGTGGGAGCCGAGGCAATGGGGGGTCTCGAGGTTCTGCCCCCTTCTCCCATCATCATACTGCACCTCCTTCTGCTGCCACGACTCCAACTGCTAGCTCAGCTCCTCAGGGCGATGCACCCTCGTCATCTGGCCAGGGCCCGGAGAACAACAGCTCCACGCGGGACCTGTTGTCCCAGCACGGAGAACGCTCTCTGGGCCTGCGCTGCCTCGACCCCCCCTGCTCCCGCTGGACCCTGGCCTCTTTTGCTGAGAGACACTATGCTCCATTCCTTCTACAACCAACCACCAAGGTGCGTTTAGTGTCTGTGTTTCTGTAGAAAAGAGGGCTGGAGAAAGAATGGGGGAAAAGCTTCCGAGTGAGGCAAGACTGCGTTTGTGCTGACTCACTTTAGTTATAATTTTAAAGGGGTGGTTAGTCACCAGAGGGAATAGTAGGAGGACATCTGGGGTGGACGTTGTGGTCATGTCCTATCTGAGTCACATATAAGCTCACACACACACTGACTGACCTCAGTCTAGTGGGTGGCCAGTCGTCTCAAAGCCTGCCAGAACTGAAATCATATGGTGCTTGTACTTGACATACTCTTGGTCCTGTCATCACACAGTGTACATATTGCTAAATGGCTTAATCTGCTCATTTGATGCCTTAATCCAATACTCATCATATTGCTGAATGACTTCAATGAAAGTAATGGTTTATTAAAACCTTATTGTTGACCTTCATGGCAACTTTGCTGCATGAACTTGCTTGCATGCAATAGATCAAAGTTGAAACAGGCAGTTTACAACATAGTATTTGGATAGTCATTTTGACTTTCTTTGTATGCTTTTTATTTCAATCTGTACTATAAGCTGACTGCTTGTGTTTCTTGCCATGTCAGAGACATACACCCAATGTATAAGTTCATTTAAACCAAGTGCCTTGATTTGTGCTCTTTTATATGTACATTCGGCTTTATTTCTTATCAATTCCTCTTTTGAGTTGTGTGGAACGTGCTGCTAACAAGCACCTCAGATTTTGCACTTTGTCCTCATTTTCTCTTCTTCACTCATTCACAATATGAATTATGGTTTTCAGAAGTAATTAGTTCAAGCTTAAGCTGTCCAGCCTTTACTCCGTGCAGTGATTTGATTGATGATCTCCATCCTTTTCCTCCTGTTTCCAGGTGGTTGTGATTGTGCTGTTCCTCTGCCTGCTGGTAGTCAGTCTGTACGGGACCACCCAGGTGAAGGATGGCCTGGAGTTGACGGACATTGTGCCGAGAGAGACCAGCGAGTATGACTTCATCGGTGCCCAGTTCAAGTTCTTCTCCTTCTACAATATGTATGTGGTGACACAGCAGGCGGAATACCCCAAGAAGCAGCATCTGCTGCACCAGCTCCACCAGAGGTTCCACACTGTTCGCTACGTGCTGAAGGAGGACAACGGAGAGCTGCCTCACATGTGGCTTCACTATTTCAGGGAATGGCTTCAAGGTAAAATTAAGCTCGATATCTTGTTACCACCTAAACTACACCAAAAGTGGATTGGGTCCCACTAAGAGAAAAATGATCCTTGTGTTCGAACTAGCAGTATGAGTCAGAGTCCGTGTTAGATCACTTAACCCTAATACTAATGTCACTGTTATTAATTCTTTATTTTATATCACTATTCAAGATAATCCAGTAGGGCTGTGCAATTAATCGTATTTTAATCTCGATTACGATTTTGGCTTGCAACGATTACGAAAACAATGTAATCGAAATAAAACGATTATTATTTTTATTAAAAAAAAAAAAATTTAATTTTTTTTTTTTTTTTTTCTGTTGAATTATACTTAAGGTTTAGGGTAATCAACTGTTAAAAACATACTGTTCAAATTTTTTTTTTCAATATATGGATGTTTTCAAAGTAAATTGATCGTAATCAATTTACGTAATCGTAATAATCGTTTTTAATAATCGTGATATCAATTATTGACCAAAATAATCGTGATTATGATTTTTGCCATAATCGCACAGCCCTATAATCCAGGCATGGTAATCATTTACGTTCTCATGAAACAGTTTTGAGATCATCATTTTCTTCTGTTTTGACATGAATCTGCCTGAAACAAGATGTTGGGCAGGGTTTCAGAAGTAGGTGGGATTGCAGAATGGACACTGGAAGTAGTCTGATTAAAATCACTTGTGTCATCCTTAAGTGGGGTTGATAGAGAAGGAAGTTCCAACTGAGATTAGTACTGCTTCTGCTAGTTTCTGTCATTTTTCGTTCAAATTCATTGGTAATATTTGGCATATAACTATGATGACAAGATTCCGTTTTTGCTGGTTTGTTTGTTGCATTGTCGCCACTGATAGCTCCTAAGAATTGTAAAGTGCCACTGAATAAGAATATTATCTTACACATGTCCACCCAAATTCTCAAATGGGTTCATTATTAGAAAGGAAGTGCTGACTTGCCTGTAACGATAAAACACATTGTGTTAATCTGTGTGTGAGGCGGCTGGGAACCACACAGAGAGTGTGTGGGTGAGAGAGACAGAACTGTGTCTGATATTGCTCTCTGCAATGGTGGGACAAATTGGAGCCAGACAGGCCAAGGAACGAGACCCAAAACAACATCTCCCACAGACGGACCACAGCATGGGCCTTTGGGGAGAACCGAGAGGAGGGGAGTGATACACATATGGATTAGAGAAGTCGTATAGAAAAGGAGACATATGTTACTGATATAATTCCTAATGATGACTTTGAATCAAAAGCAGCCAATTTTAGGCTTTTGAAGTCTTGTTTGGTGGTTGAGAATGGAGCCGAGTTATCATATTAAATCAGTCAGCCTTATTATAGGGTCAAGGTTAGCTTGCAGTGTTGTGTTATATTGTCTTGTACTGTTTTGGGTTGTTATGCGTTTGGTTTTCTTTTGAACTCGGCTTTATGAGTGTTTTGCAGAGAAGGAATTAAGTTAACAGGGCATTTAACCTTTTCAAATATCCACATCTAACCAATCTGTCTTGTTGTGCTTTCCTGCAGGTCTCCAGCAGGCGTTTGACAGGGACTGGGAGGCCGGGCGCATCACCCAAAACAACTACAGGAATGGCTCTGATGATGGCGTCCTGGCATACAAGCTGTTGGTGCAGACAGGACGCAGGGAAAAGCCCATTAACTTCAACCTGGTATGCATCTAGGGATAGACTTAAGAGACACCGTATGTTTATGCATATTTATGTGTGAATGGGGCTGGAAGAGCGACACCCGCTCTCTCTATCTGACTTTTCTCTTTCTTTTTCTCTCTGTGTCTGTCTCCATCTTTTCTCCGTGATGACTTTACCGAGCCCAGGAATTTAAAGCTCTCACTGGGGCTGCAGCCTGCCTCTGAAAAACCTATTAACTCTTCATTTAAACCATTTGTCCCACTTGCTAGAACTGTGTGTGTGTCTGTGCTTGTGCAGGATCTTGACAGTTTGATGTCTTCCCTTAGCGTTGTTAGTGATTCCAGACACAGTTCATAGTATGAGTGGTTGGATAGCTAAAACAAATCAATGCAAAACAGACAAACTCATTCATGCCCCAATTGTCTACAACTTATTTACTGTGATTCTGTCGTGAATGAAGTTTGAATGGTCAAAATAAACTGAAGTTAACTTATGAAAAACATATGAAACATTTTGCAACATTTACATATCTTTTGGCACATTTTTTTAATTTATAAAGTGAGTTAGTTGGCTAAATAAGTTGAAATGTTTAGTTTTTAATGCTAATTTGTTGCATTTGAACATCAGGCCCCTCTAAAATACTGCCTGAGAAAGTTCAAGCGGTTGCCTTCACAACACTTTTGCTGTCCAGTGTTTTAATGCAGCTACTTTTTAGGTAGAAAAGCCTCCAGATTCCATCACTACTACTGTACCCACTGCTGTAAATGCAATCATACAACAGAGTAGTTAGCTTAATCATCTGACAAACTCCAGTCCAGCTGTTGAAGTGAGCTCTGTCTCCAGTGGGTTGTTTGATACTGTATATCCAACAATGACACAAATCAAGCTAGAGCAGCCAACGTCTCAGAAAGAGTTCCAGTTCAAACTTGCTTGGTTCCAACAGGGCATTACACACTGTTTATAGTTTAGTGCCACCTCAAACAAAAAAACATAAATAATGCATGGCTGCATTCTTTGGCATGAATAAGTGCAAACAGAAGATAAGAAACTGGAGTAATAAAAAAACAAAAATTCTTGGCCTGGCTTTCTAAAAACTCCAAACCCAAAACAAGTCCTTTTCAACACTGAGATCATTTTTCTTAAAGATAATTAACTTTGACTTATAGCACCCCTGTGTCTAGTGTTCAATGATATATATGATTTGCGTTGAAGTCATGCATGTCTACTGAAAAAGTTCCCCCCTCTACTCTTCTCTGTTTGTGTTTGGCGTTTTCTCTTACCCATTGAGCTCTAATGCAGCAGCAAAAGGCTTTTAGCATCCCTTCCACTAGCTGGCAGGGAGCAGTGGCAGGTTTGGTGTGCGGCCCTGTGACATCACTTCCTGTGCCTGTGAGGGAAGTGTATTTGCCGTGAGGCGCGGGGCCCGCCAGCAGAGCTGCCTGAGCTTCCCGTGACAGCTTGAAGACATACAGTTGTTGCGTATCCCGCTGTTAAATTCAATCCAGATCCTCTGGAATCTGGCTCTCTTTCTTGCCCTTCTCTCTCTCTCCAACTCTCCTTCACCAACTCCTGCTCGCACTACCACTCTTGCTCTCTCTCTCTCTGTCCCTTCCTCCCTCCCTTTTCCACCCTCTGTGCTCCACTGCTGTGTCCTCTTTCAATGAGGGGAGCTGAAACACGTGGTTTCTTTGAGGCAGCTCTGTGTGTGAGTTTGTATGTTTTCAGTGTGTGTTCTGCTTTTGTCTGTTGTGCGTGCACTTACAGCAGTAGCTGTTTTCCATGTCTTAAAATGAGGACCAGATCTTTTCCAACCCTGGCAAATTGCAAAGCTAGATGTTTTATTTTGATATGCCACTCCACGGATCGTGCAGAGGTGTTCTGGCTTTGATCTGCTGCTGCTAACATTTCCCTCTGTGCTGGGCGACCATTCGTTCCTTATGACCTTGCTTGGGAGCCATATGGTAGCTGGTTTTGTGTGTGTATGTGTGCGTGTATATACAGATAAAGCTCTGGATACAGAAGGGGTTGGGTATGTGGAGAAGGAGGAGGTGGAACGTTTCTTGAAAGTTCCCAGGAAGGCCATGCTAACGCTATCATGAGCTCTTTTCTTCTCAGGGCCTGGTTTGTCTGTGGTGCCCGGCATTCTGGGTACCCGTAGGGGTCAGGAGAAGCAAGTGTGAGCAACATTTGTACAGATGTTGTGTTATTTTTATAGCTCTACTCCATTTGCCGGGTGGCATTTCCTTCAGTGTTAACAACCAGGTTAACTGCACACAGACGCGCTCAGGGACTCCAGCCAATTTCTTTATTGTTACGCTAGCCTCAACTCAAGCAATTTTCCATCACAAAAAAACCCTAGTCTTCTCTTCATCCACCTAACCCCTTGAGTCCAGTTTTAACCCCAAAACTCTCCCTGCCTCAGTGAAGGAAAGATTTATGGTTCCTAGAAGGGAGAGTGGCAGAGCGGTGTGTAGTAATGGTTTTACCGCTCAGGAGGTAGCAAAGCTAGGCTAAACTCCTCTGGTTCCACATGGGAGGGCGAAAAGTAATGGCCCTTGAGCAAGACAGCCATTCTTGCCTTCCTACTGACCATAGCCGTCACAGCAAATGACACCGACTAAAAACGCTTGGGAACAATCCACAACCAGACAGAAACACTCAGCGTGGGGTTGGTCTGATTCATTGTGTTTGACTACCCAGCTTTGGTTTTGAGATTAACTTAAAATTACCTTGTTACTAATGTTATAATAATTTGACGTTATAGTGAATTTAAACAATATCTACAGCTCTGTTAGAAGCTCTGTGAGGTTATTGTTCAAATTCACCCTTTGGGCAACACACGTACATTTCTGTACCAATTTTATTGGGATTCCTAGAGGAGCAGTCAGCGGATCACCGAAGTCACATGCCACATTAGAATTTAGACTGATACATTTAAACACTTTAAAGACTTGGTACTACATTCATCTCCGACACCTTCTTCTTTACAGAGAAGTTCAGCAAGGCTTCCTTTAGAAATGTATTCAAGAGTGGTCAGGACATTTGGCCTGAGGTTGGCCAGTCAATATCTTGTGTATGTAAAGGGAGAAGCTGATTCAACATTTTCCATGTTTTAATGTGGCATGATAATTCTGGGAAGCGGTGATGAGAAGTACGGGAATTTTCAGAAAGGCGACCAGTGTTTGACTTGTTGATTTTTCTTTGGTTGGAAAGAGAGAGAAACTAATATTTGACTCTTATTTTGAGAGCTGCTCCGTTCTCTTGCACTCATGCATGTGTATAAGTAAGCATTTCTGTGGTCAGCTCACCTGTAGAATGTTTGGTTAAACATGTCCTATTTCCACAATACCTTTTCCTTTCCAATGTACACTTAGCCGCCGCAATATGATTTTCTTTGCAAGCTCCACCTAATATTTGACCTTAAATGTACTTTTTGCATTTGATATTCATTCCATTTTCAAATGCGGCTTAGTCCTATGTAATGTGAAGGATCTAATTTAAATAAGATGTGTGCAAGTCCTGGTATTTTAAAGAATACAGCAGAATAGAACCTTATTTTCTACATTAGAGTACTATCATTAATTTGTCTCCTTTTGGGTGTTGTAGCTGACTCGTCACAGGCTTGTGGATGCAGATGGGATCATCAACCCCGGGGCATTCTACATCTACCTTACTGCTTGGGTCAGCAATGATCCTGTGGCATACGCCGCCTCGCAGGCCAACATTCGCCCACACCCTCCAGAGTGGCTGCGCGACCGGACCGACATCATGCCCGAGACACGCCTCAGCAGTAAGTCAGCATGTTCGCAGATCATGCAGGAAATCAAAACAGGAAGCCTTATGCTGTAATGTAATAAAGTTATTTGACCGAAGAATCGAATTGTCAATGATAATGTTTGCTTAACCAAATGAAGCTAATTTGAACTGATAAGGTTAATACATGGTACACCATAGTTTAACAAATTGCATTTACTGAAATGTTACGCTCAATTTCTTTTGGGGTTAATTTGTCTGGGCTTTTTTGGAGTTCCATAAGGCTTCTACTACATGTAAGGTAGTTTACTTTACTGTACCACTGCGGTGTGTGTTTGTGTGTGTGTTTGTGTATGTGTGAGCTCAGGTTGTAACGCACAGGACCAAGACACAACTCACTGTGGTTTTTCTTATGGTGCCTGTGGTGAATGCTATAATCCTGGCTACCATGGGGCCCTAGACTTACACACACACACACACACACACACACACACACACACACACGCTGCACATTATTACAACTCAGTGACCCCTAACACTACACACACCCTGTTATCAAGTCCCTACCACACATACAGACTGTAACTCAAATAAAAAAGTATAGTCATGTTGTTGTTTGATTCTAGCCTGTGATTTTGTTCAAGTCATGAAGTTCTCCACGGGGAGGGAAATGATTGGATAACAAGGAGAGACTTGGTTCGGGTGGCAAGCACAATTGGATAACAAGCAGGAAGACCTTTACGGGGGGTGCATATGATTGGATAAGCAGCGTGAAGGGTTGGCTGTGTGGGAGCCCCCGAAAGCAGATCTGTGTTGGCCAAAAGCCAACTGGTGTCCTAATGGAAATGTATAGTTGAGATTATAATGGGCCAAACCATGTTAGCAAGTGCTCCTGTTCGACCCTGCAGGCACTGTGGAATATACAGAATCCCACCAACATACTGTAACACGGTCCACAAAAAGGTATTTCTACAATAAAAAGGTGGAGATAGTTACAGTTGGAGTTGCAGAGTTAATATTTTGATCTGCCATATGCAGCAATGTGTTGTTAATTATACTGCAAGCTCAAATCTGAATGAACACACTGTTTTGACAGCACCAAATATGACTCCATAGCGGAGTGACAGACAGGTATGCATGTTTATGCATCTGTATTATGCTTTATGTGGCAGCACTAAGTTTAGGGTGTGGTAATGGCGGTGATTCTGACATTGTAATTACCGTGAATCAACGTTAGCTCTGACACGCTGCTGTGTCTGGAACTGATAGGCCCTCATTAGCCAGGCTGGGCCACAGACTGGCTGGATTTGAGTCAATGGAGCTCTGTTTCACACTGCTCCGCCCACCCCTGACACACACACACACACACACACACACACACACACACACACACACACACACACACACACACACACACATACACACACACACTCTTCCACTGATGTAGCTGCTCTTGGAATAAGGTTGGATTAGGGAGGGGAAAGCCTTGATATTGGGAGTTTGGCTGAAGCGTCTACATTCATTTTTGAAGATACCCAAAATGGTCAGAACTTAATGCTAGTTAATCAGAATAGATAATATCATCTGTCATTTTGGAATTGTTGGTTTATCTGATCACTTTTATAAAGTGACTCAGTTTACTGTCTCTTTGATTTGACATTTTCCTCATCTTGCAAGTCTGTGTTGCCTTGGCTCCAAAGTCCAAAACCATCATCAATTCATGCATGGCGTTAAATATAGATCAAGCTCTGCTACTTTTTTACTTGCAAAAAAATGACCTTCCTCTCATTGTCTTCCCACCCAGTCCCAGCTGCTGAGCCCATTGAATACGCACAGTTCCCCTTCTACCTCAACGGGCTTCGGGAGACTCCACAGTTTGTGGAGGCCATTGAGAGCGTGCGGGCTATCTGCAGCAACTTCAGTCGACAGGGCCTACCCTCCTACCCCAACGGCTACCCTTTCCTGTTCTGGGAACAGTATGTTAGTCTGCGCCACTGGCTCCTGCTGTGCATCAGTGTCGTGCTCGCCTGTACCTTCCTCGTCTGTGCCCTCTTCCTGCTCAACCCGTGGACCGCCGGCATCATAGTGAGTGTTGAAATAAACAAATGTATATACTTTTGATAGGTGTATTACCTCGCTGATTTGGATTTTATTACAAACGGGTCACCTCTTAACGTAGAGAGGCTGAAACCACATACTTTTAGTTATTAAAAAATCGTGTGTTCTCCACCCTTTATTTCCTGGTTTTTATGTGTGGTCCATCTCAGAGAGGACAGATCCAAACAGGGGAAGGGGCTGCTGTGTGTTATTTTAGCCCCAGTCACCAGTGTTTATCTTGTACTGTTTTGTTAGGGCCCGTCTGTTTAGTCTAGTCCAACACTCCCCGACACCAATGCTGAAATAAATGGGGAGAGGACTCAAAGTTGCTCGGACAACTTGCTCCAAACCTATAAAAAGTTAGATTTGATTTCCATCCTCCACACGGAGTTTCCAAGGATACATAGAAACACAGATTTGCGCACACAGACACACACTGTGCACACACGCAGACATGTATATACTTGCACACATAGAGTTTAAATGTGTAAACAGGCAGGTACATAATTCACACAGAAACACATACACAGAGAGCTCTGGTTTTTCTCTCTGGTGGGTTGTAGTTTACGACGGGCAGTGGCCAGGCCACCCGAGCCCTTAAACAGGGGAGGAGGGGACCTCTTGTCCATCCTTCAGACTTTACTAGCAAGATCAAAAGACAAGTTATGGAGAGGCGTCAAGTTTAACCACTTGCTCTGTGCAGGACCAGACCACCGCCAGCCCTAGTCAAACCTTACGCCCTTTCAAACCCTCTTAGCTATTTGCCCTGAAATCCATCTCAACCACATGGAACGGCCCATTTTAAACCTTGTGACTTGTGTTTTGATTCATACAGATGTTTCTAATCCACCTGATATTCATTGATGTTCACACTTGGAGTGATCATTTGTGATCTGGTTTTGCTTCCTGCCCATGTTCTGTATTCGCCTTTTATTTATGGCAAAATGTTGAATTTATAAAAGACACACGTAGAGACATTAACATTTTTGAGTTATCAATCAAAATCAAAATGATATATAGAAGTACTAAGTCTGCTTGAATCTTAAAAGATTAAAATACTCTTTATGGAATCCTGACCAAACATTTGATATTGCTGTCCACTTTTGATCGCATCACTTAAAGATTCACTAAAGTGTGAACAAAGTTAGACACACACACAAACACCCCCTCCTGGACACACATGCACAGACTCTGTGGTGGCTCACTATGAAGGCACCCTTAACACATCTACACAGCTCCCTCCCCTGCTCACCTCAGCCTTCTTCAAAGGATGTGGGCCCCATGTAACTTGACACCTGTCAGCTGATAATGGCATTACTCCCAGCTCCTGTCCCGCCTTTACACACTCCAGGCAACACACACACCTTTTGCCCATATGTATGGTAATTACTTAACAAATACAAATGATAGAGATCCTCACATCATCCAGGTGCATTATTGACCCCTGTCTGTTTTGTATACAATCAAAGTCCAGATGAGCTGTAAATTCACACACCACGTGCAATTAATAATTGTTTGTTAATCGTACAACAATGAAGTAGAAGATTATTTCCATTTATGGTCATTTGTAACTTTATGCTTGTGTACATTTTTCTACTTTTTTACCCGGGTATATGTGCATTCTAATAATACATTTCTTACCGCTTTAGATAGAAGGTATTATTATTATTATCTTTTGGACTTACACAGAAGATAAAAATTACATTTGTAAGCTGACAAACTTAGAGAAACCATTTAAATCTCTTAAAACAATACAGATGTACATGAAAATAAAAATACCTGCAAAGAGTGGTTTATACAGATCAAAATATACGTTTCCTTAAGAAATAGTACAACTAGAAACTCTGAGATTACAAATCAATTATCATTTTTGGGATATTTTATTTCTGGCATGTTCCCCCATTCAACCTAAATCTACCCTTTTAAATGTGATTAAACGTTATATATTCATTAAGCACCTTCCCATCTAACAGAAGCTCCTCCTCTCCCCTTTAGGTGTTGGTGCTTTCTCTTATGACTGTGGAGCTGTTTGGCTTCATGGGGCTGATGGGAATCAAGCTGAGTGCTGTCCCTGTTGTCATTCTCATCGCCTCTGTGGGCATTGGAGTGGAGTTCACCGTCCATGTGGCTCTGGTAGGCTGGCATAAACATAATCAAACTATTTCAACATGAACAAAATACAAGTTTTTTTAGAATGGTTTTCAAAACAGTGACACACAAGAACTAATGTCTGCTTCTGTTTATGTGTTGTAGGCTTTCCTGACAGCCATAGGGGATCGTCACAAGCGGGCCGTGCTGGCTCTGGAGCACATGTTTGCTCCGGTGCTCGACGGAGCCTTTTCTACCTTATTAGGTGTCCTGTTGCTTGCGGGGTCTGAGTTCGACTTTATTGTCAGGTGGGTACAAGAATCAACCTTATGAGGAATTCATTAAGCCGAATATTAAAGCAGGTACAAAGGTTATCGTACAGTGTCTATGTTCCGTCAGTAGACCGTTGACACCATGTCTCAACCTGTGTGTCACGCAGGATCTACCTGAGCCACCAATCATGCATGAAGACTCTTAGCTTTCTTCTTCCCCCGCTCCCTCCCTCAATCTCTTTCTCGTCTTCCACCCGCATCTCCCTTTCATACTCCCTTTCTGTAGACCTCATCTCTTTGCCAGCTACCAGTGACATACCTGCTTTTTTCTCAATTTCTGGGGGCTTGCTCCATGAAACTTAATAAACAAGGCCTTTGTCTTTCTCCACCCACCTCTCCCCTCTTGGTTTTTCTTTCATCCTCCTCCCCCCCCCTCAGTGTCTCTCATGCCTGAGATTTTAGGGGAAACCAGGGGATGGATGGAGAGTTGAAGGTCAGGAGAAGTAGGCGGAGACAGTCTAGGGGAGAGTAGACGGTGATTCAGTGGCAAACAAAGTAAAAGAGAGTGATGGTCGGAGAGAGCGACAGGGAAAGAGCAGGAAGGTTCTCTGGCCTTTGTAATCTCCAGCTAGTTTAACTGCCCTCGCTAGACATTTATAAGCATGGGAAGGAGTTACGGGTTGCCGGGGGCAAGAGGGCCGTTGTGGAAAGACAGGAAAAGTGGAAATTAAAACCGACACACTCTGGGGGCTCTGGTTCATTTGCTCCTATTTGTGGGTGCAAGCTGTTGCACCAGTGAGCTCACTGAATCATTTAAAGTAACTGAGGTAGCTGTATACTTTGGTTGACCTGCTCCTTTAAGAAAAGGGCGCACTGAAGTCCATGTGATCGGCAAGCATGCACTCTATCATGTGCACAGGCCTGCACTTATCCATGCACACCCACACAATTACACATAGTCTCCATCGTAACACACACACACACACACACACACACACACACACACACACACACACACACACACACACACACACACACACACACACACACACACAGACCAACCTTCTTCCTGACCTTGTAATCATGAGGGTCAATGATGGCGTGCACACACAGATACACACTCTGAGAGACACACACAAACATACACACACAAACACAGGAGGCCTACAGACCTTCTCTCCTCACCTCCAGTGGTGTGCTCTGGTTTCTGACTCAGTCTCGGGCCTCCATTTAAAGGTTCTGCTGTTGTCTGAGCAAACAAAGCAGAGTCCCAAGACGATGCAATAACAACAGGCCCAGCTCGTATTTTTCTGCTTGCGCCGAAATAAATGTTTCCCTGGCTTTCCCCATCAGCCCTGTGAATGTTTTCACTCCAAACTGTGTGTGGATCTGAAGGTGACGTGGCGTTTACCTCTTCTCGTGCGTATATATATGCTTACCATAGCGATGAAAGAGTTATTTCAGTTCCACATACAGAAACTGTTCTGATGATCTAATAAAGCAGTTAAAGGAAAGTTGGGTGGGCTTTACATACTGTTTAGTGCATATACTATATGATGTGTATCAGAACAACTTTACCAGAGACCAAGTAAAAACTTCAATCACAGATACTTACTTTGCTCATTTACAATTAAGGATTCCAAGTTGGAAATGTTATTTGGCGTGATCCCAAAAACTTTAGTTGAAAAGGAAATTTGGGCACAAGCTCCCTGCAATTGGAGAACTTTCTGTCAATGAAGGAAGGTGGAATTCAAATGACATGATGCAGGAAATAACCAAGTTTAAATCAAACTTTCCTTTATAAGTAACGACTTATCCTATCTACCAATTATGTACAAGAAGCAATGCATTAAAAAAACCTGGAACAAACCTGATTCAGAAAATGTTTTTCAAAGTATCCTGACATGAATACATCTTGTTAGATTAGTTATGTGTCCAATGTGCTGTTGGGTTAATACTGTGACCTGTCCTCAGGAACACCTAGACCAACATCGAATAGAAATGACTCTAGCCGGTCTGATGTTTGCAGGCTCAACATGGGAAGTATTTGACCAGGTGAAAGGAAGGCTAGATCTGGCTCTGCTCAGACTTTTTATCCTGACTACTACACCTTGAGAGTCAATCGAAGTGAGAAAATGAGAGAGATACCTGTAGCATAAAACTGATATCAACTTTCATATAAAACACCACAGACTAGATCTTAAAAATTACATATAATGATGCATTATGGTCTTTTTTTGTATAAACTAAAATGGCTAGTGTAGTGTGCAGCAGCATAAGTATGTGTCCATACCAGCCCTCTCAAATTATCTTGAAGACATTTTGCATATTAAGTACGTTTCCATCATTATTCAGTCTGGCTCGCTGTATAAATATTGTGAAGGTGAGGCCACCCATGCAGGGTAGACAAGAACCAGCTCTCCTCACTTATCAAGCCTCCGTACAATACCTATCTTTCTACACACACACACACACACACACACACACACACACACACACACACACACACACACACACACACACACACACAGAATCAACACATATTGAAATGAACACACACCCATTAGTTATGAATGTGCGTTTAGTTTAAGGCCCAGCTGCACAGCATTCAAGCGCATCTACACCTCAGTTAGTCCACTTAACCCTCCCCTCCTCACACACACACACACACACACACACACACACACACACACACACACACACACACACATACACACATACACACACAGGGGGGGTCATGGTTGATCAGTGTGTCCCTGATAACCTGAGAGCTTTCAGTGGAGAATCGGGTGAGGTGGAAAGCTTCCCCTAATGAAGGGAGCTGGATTGGTGTGGGAGAGATAGGGGGATTTAGAGTGGAGATTGGGGGGTCTTACCTGATACATTGGAGATTTAATTAGACGGAGGGGATTGTGGAGTGGCCGGGAATTTCACAGGGGCTTAGCTGGAAAGGAGGGAGAGGGAAGTGAGGCAGAGAAGAGAGAGAAAGAAAGAAAAGAGAGGGAGAGAGACCAGGGAGGGGGTCTCTGAGGGTCCCCTTCTCTCCTTCCTAGACTAAATTGTTTACATTTTATACCCTTCACTCCATTTGTTTGCTTCTCCCTCTCTTTTTTAGAGACGAAGAGCAGAGAGAGGCCCCTGTCCTCTTGCCTCTCGTGCCCCCCCACCCCCCTAGGTTCCCCTCACCCACCCTCTCCTCTCCTTCCCCCTTGTTACCCTCCCCTTACCCCTTAACCCCTCCCCTCACATTCCTCACTGCTTTGTTTTCTCCATGTTTGCTTATATACCACACACCCAAGAGAGAGTACCCTTACCCCCAATACCCCCCCCCCCCCCCCCCCTCCTTTCTTTTTTTTTCTTTCCTCCAATGCCTTTGAATTAACCAGCTCTGGCTAATTATGCTTCCCCTTTCTTTTTCCTCTGCGGCTTCTTTAAGACTAACCATCTTTGGCAGGACTTAGAAACACACAAGGTACATTTCTGTTCTGCTCCTCAAAACCACAGTGCATGCCTGCCTGTCTGTGGGGGGGTTTATATATATATGTGTGTGTGCTTGGGGAGTGGCCGGGTGTCTTTGTGGAAGTATTATCTCGGGCGTGTGTACTGGTTGATCTTGCACATGTCTCCCCATGTCTTAACATTTGTGGTTTGCACAGGTATTTTCATTGTTTCTTCGCTTTCTTTTCTGGTCTGTCTGTGTTGGCCTAGGAATATCTGGGTTTTGTTTTTTGTTCCAGTCACACAACTTTGAAGTGGTCTGAAGTGAGTTTTATCCTCACTTGTTGAAATTATTCCTGATGTTAAACTTCCTTTGTGTGTTTGTTCCAGGTATTTCTTCGCAGTGTTGGCCATTCTCACAGTTCTTGGAGTACTGAATGGATTGGTCCTTCTTCCAGTATTACTGTCATACTTTGGGCCCTATCCAGAGGTAGGATCCTTTAAAACGCAACTGCAAGAAAATGTCATCTTAGTTGACTAGAAAAAGTGAATTATTTTTCATTCAAAAGTGTGGAATACTCACTCCTCTATTCTCACATCTCAGGTGACCCCAATCGATGGTCGTAGTCAGTTACCCACCCCATCACCTGAGACACCTCCTCACGTGGTCCACTTCTCGGTCCGTCCTCACAACACCACCATAGCCACGCCCACCTCTGGTGCAGCTTCAGACTCGTCGGACTCGGAGTACAGCTCTAACACCACAGTGTCTGGTATAAGCCAGGAGCTGCAGAACTACAACCTGCCCTCCCACAGGGGACACACTCGAGCAGAGGAGCAGCAGTACCACCTCCAGATCAGCAGGGGCAGAGCAGCCAGGACAGAGGAGCACAGGAGAGCAGGATCAGGGAACAGGCGCACAGCCAGGCAGCCTGACCCTCCTGGCTATAATGTGTCTTTGGTAAGCAATATCCCCCTTTGTGTGGCATCTATACTTCTCTCATTCCTGTTAGTAGCATTTTAGAAATAAATATGTTGTTGTCTTATATTACAGTCCTCTCAGGGTTGTAATTCTGGGCCCCAGCCAGCGGCTCCTCAGCGTAACAGCAGCAGGGACCCCAAGAGCCAGCCGCACCGGCAGGCCCCGCCCCCAGCCCGCCCGCGCATGGACGCTTTTGAAACTGCTACTGAGGCTGGGGGCCATCATGGCTCACGTGGCCATAGAGAACACTCAGCAGGCCACAGGGCCCGCTCTTCCCACAACCCACAACCTAATCACCACCTCCCGCACCACCACCCAAACCCCACCCCTTATTGTCAACCCATCACCACGGTAACAGCATCAGCCTCCGTCACTGTTGCTGTTCACCCAGCCCCCTTGTCCAACCAGGGCCCCCCAGCTTCCTCTTACCCAGGATACACAACAACAGACAGTTACTGCCAATCAGGAGATCAGGGGACGGAGCCTGTCTTCCAGGACCCTCATGTGCCACTGGACACTCACACAGGGGCCAGGGGGGCCTACATGGAGTCCATGGAGCTTCAAGATTTGGAGTTTGAGGCAGCTGAGAGCAACAATGGCAGGCGGACAAGCTGAGGTGAGCTTTAAACTACTTCCGTAAATACGTATTCAAACTGCCCTTTTAAAAAAGTGTGTTTATCATAAAGCACTGAAAAACAATTCTTCCTTTTTATTTCAGTTATGGAGAACGCAAGTACAACGGCCAAAGATGGACTCCTCCCTATTACTTAGCAGCTGACTCGGTCTGGCGCAGGAAAGCCCAGCACAGCCCAGTCCGAAACTCGCCAGTGTTGCCGTCATGGTGCTCATTCTTACTGTAACCCAGTGGACTATTTTCTTAGATATTTCTATCTATATTTAAAAGTTGTATACATATGTAAATATGAACAGAAAGTAGCTATAATTGTAGGAGCTGTACAACTCCTCATGTTAACAGACTGGGGCTGCCATTTTATATGGTTTGTGAGTGTGTTTGTGTAAATGTGTATGTGTGTATGAGAGTTAGTGATAGATATCTTATTACTGCTCACTCATCTGTGGATCTGTGCCATTAGGAAGCTTCATCTAGACAAAAATACCTGTCAGCATTCACTGTTGCTGCTCAAAATATTTTTTTTAAATAATATACATTTATAACTCTATGCAAATGTCTCTTTAAACAAAAGAAGTGATCTGTGTGTGTAGGTGTGTGTGTGTAGGTGTGTAGGTGTGTGTGTGTGTGTGTGTGTGTGTGTGTGTGTGTGTGTGTGTGATGTGAAACTGCCCCATTATCTTCTGGCTTATAAATCAGACACATCCTCAGAACAGGCTAACATTTACACTCATTTTAAACATGAGGGAAATTGTTAGAATTATCAAACAGGGCTATGGTATATATGTGTGTGTTTATGTGTGTGTGCGGTTATTGTATAAAGGTACGCATGTTAAACTATTAATTTTTTATCACAAACCTGTGGTAGTTATGAAACAATTACTGTTTAACTTGACACGCTATGCGTGCTATTTAAGACGAGCAGATATGAAGAAATTTAAAAAGCTGTTTTTTGGTTTTGTTCTGTTCTTTTAGTCATTGCCTCTGCATTGGAACCTGTTTCTGCTCTCAGCTTTGTATCACTGTCTGTGAGGTTGCTCTCTGGTTGTGTCTTACTGTACGAGGCAATATTGTTTAACCCTAGCAGGCTCAAAACTGTTTCTGTCTTGTACAAGCAGTAAACCCACCTCAAAGACTCACTCTCCCATTACAGGGACCTTCACATTACTGATTCTGGAACAGGGTCAACACAGGGCTCTAACTCTGTGTCAAGTGGATAAGCTAAAGCTCTGACTGTATACTGTACAACCTGATTTAACATGGCACTTGACTGCACTCAAACTTCATTCACAGCAATACTTGCTTCAAGTATCTTTCTTTTTTACTATCCAACCAATAAGCTAGCCCACACAGCCTGCTACGGGATAAGCCTTATATGGCCTGACTATGTGGTCTATGTGTGTCTCAATGTATACATGTCTAAAGCATTTATGTGCGTGTGTGTCTTGGTACATCCTCTCAGTCTGCCTCAGCTCTCCTTTATTGACAGTAGAAACAACTGGCCCTAATTTGGCATCAGCCGTCCCCACTGACCTCAGCTAATAAAATTCCACAACATAATGTCATGACACTAATTGGACGTCCCCCCACAACTGCCAAATGGCACAGCCCAGAGCCTCACGGGTCAAAGTTGACACTACCAGCCCCCCCCCCCCCCCTCCCAGCAATGGCCAGTTTATATCTGCAGGTCCATGTCAGCGTGCATACTTGCCTGCGCCTCCCCCCCCCAAAACCCTCCCACAGTTCCAGACCCAGGCCCCTTTGACCCAGTCACTCACCCCAACCACACCTCAGTTTTCCTCCACTTTTTTACACTCTTACTTCCTGTTGAACATGTGTAGCTCTTCCCAGAAGTCTTTGCCGTTTTCTGTCCACCATGTTACGTCAGCTGCTTGCATGAAATAGGTTGTTCTGTTTGTTTTTTGTTTTGTTTTCTCCCAATGTCACATTGGCAGTAGCGGAGAGAATCATAGCTGGCAACTATTTTATTCATTTTTTTATGTTTTTTGTTTGTTTTTGTTCTCAACATTCAAATGCGATATTTATATTTTTGTAATATAAAATATGTTTTTTCTTTCATTATTGTCGTGAAGCCAGTGGATAACAAATGCAGGGATTTTTTTTTTTTTATTATTGATAAAACACTATTACAGTTTAATGTTTTTACATTAATGGAGTTTGATCTGTATAAAGTGCTTACTAATGTTAAATAGGAAAAAAAGAGTATATAACATTTTACACTACAGGTCTCATCATAGCTCTTAGAGGATTTTAAAAGGAAAAAAAAAAATCAGTGGTTCTTCCAGACTGCCATTTTGGTCTCGGTTGGCGTGGATGTATGCTGTTTTCAGTTACAAAGATAAATGTATGCCATATAATTTATTTATATGAAAATTTATTTTTGTAGTGTACATAGTAGTTGTCAAGGTATTTGACAGAAGTATATTTTTAAAGAGTTTATATGTAATGATATACCATAACAGAAAAAACCTTAAGGTGCACACTTTCACTGCTAACTGTCTTGTGAGACGACATTGACACCTCCCCTTCAGTATTATGTTCCGATCCTAGGAGAGAGACAGCTGTTTCTATGGGTTTGTCAAAGGCTAGCCATGAAAGTAGAAAATTGTACTAGCTCTCTAAATATTAATGTTCAAACACTGATAGAATTCTAACAAATAAAAATATTATAACTTATTTGTCTCTTTGTTCATAACTTTAATAAATGGAAACTTAAAAATATTGCTTTGTGTGTTGATTGTTTTGAAAAGGTGCTTCAAGGAATAGAATGACGTTGTGGTAAAAAAAAACACCAATTCACTCTCTCCACTTTCTCTCTACCGTATTCATATTTACCATTCTGTCTTCTAATGTTACTAAGTACAAAAGTGAATATGGTTTCCCAGAAATTCCATACAATTCCTTTAATTACATATTGAAATAAGTGTTTTATGTTGCTTAGTGACAGGCAGACGAAACAAACACCCACGCAAGTCAAAATATTTCTGCTATTCCCTATTAAGCTTAGCTACAGGTAAACATGACCTCCCTTCCTCCCTCCCTCTGCAGTGTAAAACTCTGACATCTGGTCTGGAGCCCTGCAGCCCTCCCCAACAGCCCACCCAGCTCCGCCCCTACACCCCCCACCTCCACTCCCTGTTCTGTATGATTTTGATTGACAGCTTTATAGACTGCAAGGAAATTGGTTGTAGTTACAATACAGCTGGCCTGTTCGGAGTAATGAAAAAGGGCATGTGGCCTTGAGCTTGCTGCACTGATGGTGAGAGAGGGAGAGCACCTTGTCAACTGCATGGGTGGCAGCCATTTATTCTCAAACTTGAGGGTTGTAAGACAAAGTTTTTCACGTTAAAACATGCAACTTAAACATTTAGATCAAAATACAATTAAACATTACAACATGACAATAACATTCTTACCAATATAGGCAGACTGTGTTGGGCAAATATTCACCTGTGGTCTTTCTGTTGTTTTCTAACTACAAATAGAGGACCAGTTTTCCCAAGCCACAATTTCAACCTGAACCTCAGGAAGCTGTCGAACTCACTGACCCTGGTTCAGCGGTTGGAGGCAGGCAGTAGGCATGTTATTATCTTTTAAAGGCAATAAAGGCGCACTATTCTGCTGAGTGTTGTCCAACCAGTGCAAAAAAAACACAGGCCGACATCTTACAAATGATAGGGTGTGTTTGGAAAGCTGGGTGGCAGTATGTTGTCTGCAATGTTTTGAACTTTTCTAACTGGGCTTGACATTTTTGTCTTTCGCCTGATGAGCAGATGTGGTGAAAATCTAGAGACTGATGCAGGTGGTGCCCATGTACCCAGTGCCAATCAAAAAGTGGCAGTCAAAAAGCAAATTCAGGTTTTTGTTGTATTTTTATTTAACTATCTATGGGTGCATAAAGACTCTTTAAAAGCTGTTTTTTGTGTTTAAGCACTCATATGCCCACACAAATTAAAAGTAAACCTCTGTGGATTAGCGTTAATCAAGAAGAGTATGTGAAAATGTGTTGAAAGGAGAAATATATGTGACTAATCCCAGGGTTATTTGTAAGTTACATGCTTCATTGAGATCTATTGTTGTTAATGTGTCTTTCACCAGCACTCCCCTCTTTTGCTTGAGGACCACAGGTCAACAAACCAACCCCCCCCCCCCCCGTCCCTCCCCTCCCTCCTCTGGCCCTGCCTTACCCTTTAGCCCACCTCACCTCTACACTTCCCACCACAAACACTCAGAGATGCCCTCAGAGGTGGAACAGCACATTTTGTGAAGAGCGCTTTATTGAAGCTAACAAGCTCCAGGTTGTTAATGAATGAGTGTTTCCTGTCCCTGTCCTTTAAGGCAACAGAAAGGGGTTGGAGAGAGAGAGTTGGACGGAGGGAGGGCTAAAGAGGAAGTGAGAGGAAGCAATTAAGAAGTTCCTTCTCTCCCAAACGTATTAACTGTTCTGCCGTGGCTCTCTGCCCAGAATGGCAAACAATGGAGCGGACATATACTGTACAACAAAGCTTTTCCCTCATTCTTCAATCATTGTTTTATTATTTTCCTTGCCGTTCATATCTCAAACCTACATGCCAAAAGGAAAAAATACAAATTGGTATCATTGACTACTCTATTCCAGTCCTCTTTTTCATCCATCTGGCCCTCCCTCTCCCTCTTTCCATCCCTCACTTTTCCCTGAAAGGCATGTCCATCATCACCTGCCAGCAGACCTAAACCCTCTGAGTTTATACTCTCGTCTACATGAATGATTGCTCTGTTGACATGACTGAATAGGACACACGCAAACACTACCATTCACTCCAGCCAGATCCAGAGCCAGATTTACACATTCTATAAAACTTATAGTTTAACAATAAATCTGCAGGAAGCATCACATGGTGTGTTGATACAACTCCAGGGGAAGGGGTTACCCTTGAGGCCTCACAGACACCTTGAAAACCATTCAACTTTGTTTGCGTCTCTCTCTCTCTCTCTCTCTCTCTCTCTCTCTCTCCAGTCTCTCCTTCGTCTCTGCTCTCTCATCTCTCTCTCTCTCTTCGTCTCTCTCTCTCCTCTCTCTCCTCCTCTCGTTGACTTCTCGTCTCTCGTCGTATCTCTCGTCTCGGGTCGTCTCTCTTGCTCTCCGGGACTCGCATCTGCTCCTCTCGGAGCCTTCCAGGTCTCTCTTCTCTCTCTGTCTGTGTGTGTGTGTGTGTGTGTGTGTGTCTACAACTTGCTTTTTTTATGTTTTTGATTCTGAGACAAACAAGATTACACATGTTAGTTCGTAAAATATGTGTTTGTAGGTACTTTGCAGGTATTACTCTGAAGATGAGATACAACAGTGTTTGTTTGTCTTTAGATTTTTCTGTGAATTAGCTTATTTGCAAAAATGTCTAACTACCCCTTATAGACAATGTCCTTTGAAGGAAGCACAGTAATACAAACTATCACGGCATGCCGTCACAAAGGTTCTAACGTCAGAAAGTCTCTTCTATTCCGTCAGCAGTCTCAAGGTGGGTGGTTTTGGGTGGGTTTGGGCCTAGTGTTCAGTCTCACCCTGGGACCAGTTTGACTTGGCTGGCTGCTTTATCTCCCACAGAGGGAGTGCGTTCTTCCTACAAGACTGATCCAGAAGAATGTGAGGTCGAAGTCCCCAGTGGCCAGACTTACATAATCTCAGCGTTGAAGCACAGTTCTGCAGGCTGCAGTCGTGAATAACAAGAAATTAGCCCTCATGAGAATGACATGTGAGAAATATGCTCGGCATTTGACACATTGGATTGCAGGGATGCATGGCCAGGATACAAATTCTGAGCATGTCAGCTGTGTTTTAGTTTGATTTCATATAGAACTGGATGTAAAACATTTTAGATCAGATGTTCTTCCCTAGCCAATTATTATTTTATTCATACATGTACTTTCATACATGTTTTTTTACACAATCTTTTTTTGACCTCAATTTCTTGCACAGAACTACAGCTCTCCAGGAATCCTGCGAGAGAAAGAGGGAGAGCAGAGAGAGGGAAACAGAACAGCGCAGAGGTCCAAGACAGCGAGGGAACCACATCCAATTCTTAGAAACAGATGACATGATTCACTATGCATTCAGCACCGCTCAAAGGCTTCTGCTGCTAGAGCCAAAGATTGTATCTCTCAAAGTCTGCAGTAAAAAGCTCAAGAAATGTGCCAAGATTATTATTACTGTTGGCTGTTGTCACTGCATTCAGACAACATTCTTAACTAAATCCTGTCATTTGTAGTATATTTCTCCAATGTTCACAGTCTCATATTTCTTTTGTGCATTGGAGATTCAGACCACCCTACTTGAGATCTAAGGTCTGAAACAAGCGGGCAGAATGGATATAGTTAGAAAAGAGGAAAAATGTTTTGCATTAGTTTAATAGTTAGAGAAAGTGAGCGAGAGAAAAATAAAGTAAAAGGTGTAATCAAGGCGTAGAGAAGTGGCAGAAAAAAAGGTTGGGAGTAAAGACAGATGGAAAATGGCAGAAGGAAGAGAGTGAAGGGGGGCTGGAGGATGGTTGATGGTGGATGGGAGTAGCCGTATGAGAGTCATTATAATGACTGATGTTGTTTACTCCCATTTCCCCTCGCATCATTTATTCTGTGGAGGTGGAAAACCCACCCACTCTTTCTTTGTGTTACAGACGAGTGCTACGGAGCGATGCCAAGCCATGCCATAATCTCTCCTCTTCCGCTTATACTGGAAGCATTTATCCTGCCCTCGGCTTCTCTCTTTCCAGCCACCGCGCTTATATTATGCTTCCATTGGAATTCTCTCTTTAACTTTTTCTTTACTTTCCATCTGCCTTTGTTTCTATCCGACTCCCTCCCATCTCCCTCTTTCCAGTTTTTTTGTTTTCATTACTGCTGTGTTGACACGGCTGTGTGTGACTGCTGTGATTGGGCCGAGCACATGTAAGATGTTAGCATGATGTACAGCCGTTTACACTAAGGATGACAAACTGAGGTTGGATGCTGTCATCCTTTCTCCCTTTTGTTTAATGTAGTCCTGGTGGCACGCACACACACACCAGATGAACACACACCACCCACTTCTTTGTTTAAACTATGCTGTTTGTCTTTGCCAGAAAACATGCAACAATGTATGGAAACAGATGCGTCATCTTAAGACACAAAGGGGGGCAGAAGAGGGAAAGACAGAAAGAAACCCACAACTAAATATTTTCATCTGCGTCTGGGATTGTTGAGTGAGTACACGATCCTGCAAAGCCAAACAAAACTGGAGCATATGATTTCACATGACTTTGTAGAGAGGAGGAGGGTTTTTAACTGTTGGTCATAAAGGAAATAATAGCGGTACAAATTACTTAAAGTACAGTAAAGTTGAGGAGGGTCTTTCCTTGGTGATGATGGTAAACACTTTGGAATTTGCTAATGATCTGCCCATTCACAAAGAGGAGAGGAGAGACTTTCTTTCTTCCATCTGTGCTTATTGATTCTGGCACCATGACAGATGCCTAATGAGAAACAGAGCTGGAGGAGAGCTCTGAGGACCCCAGAGGGAGTCTGGATCAACGCACAGACACATGCAGAGAAAATATACATACAGTTATGAGCACGCACATTCATCCTTGATGTGCACAGAAATGAGATTATTATTTGCAGACAACGAGAGAATAAAAAAAGTCTCAAATATTCACCAACACTGACCTCCACTGTATGCCTGGTGCTCCTTAAACTTTCTTTTTTCAGAAGTT